TTTATTTGAAAGTCAGAGTTACAGAGAGAGGTAGAAACAGAGAAGGAAAGGCCTGATAGCATTTTTCACAACTCACCATTTCAACACACAACACCAACTCTCTCTTTCACTCTTGCTCTCACTCTCTCGTTCTCTCATATGCTTCATGATGCTGGAACCAAATGGGAGAAGGAGGGAGAGTATCCAAAGAATTACCGCAGAATGATGGTAATTTAGAGTAAGGCATTCGTGCTAACAGGACAGAAACTGATTTACTAAGCCTTGGTGAAACATTAAGATTTCCCATGTTGATCAGAGCATTAGCTGGAGTAGCTCATAAATGAGATAGCTTTCCCTAAAGGACTGGAGCAGACAAAAATAAATATTATGGAGAAACCTAAGACAAAAGGAATTTGCTAACAGATGAAAAAATTTTCCTTTATGACAGAAAGGTTGGTTTATTTATTCTATCAAATTTATCATTGTGATGCTAGGACTCTGGTCCTTCTCTCTTTGAACACTGAAGACTTTAAATTACAGAACATAAAATAGGTTGACTTGTTCAGCTTAACTCAAAAGGAAATTCCCATTAGGCCGTATTAAAAATTTGGCAAGTACAAACCACAAAGAAAATAAGGAGAACCAAAGCGGGAAGTGCAGCGAAGCTTCATATTATATGTACACCGTGAATGTGGAAGCACTTTGCAGTATCTGAAGTATCTGCTCTGATGAGAAGTTCTCCCCCCACACACACTGAGGTTGCAGCCCAAGTAATGTAGTGTATAAACTCTCATCACTTTTCTTTAGCTTCAAATAGAAATTCATTGAAAATTCTCATAGCAAGGATCAGATTGCGGGATAGTTGTACATTTGATTCTCACTGTCATCTCCTACCTCATCCCAGTTCTCACTTAGGCTATGCCTTAAAAGCACAACAAATATTCTCATGATTCAATGACACTTTGGCCAACAGCTGGTAGTTATTAAAACTCATGTATATTTAGACAATTGTCAGACAAACTGGAATTGTAGTTTTTAGTATGTTTGTCCCTTTGCTGGCCCTTTCAAGCTCTGCATCATCAAAGGACTTACCGGAAGCACTAACATGCTGATGTCTCTCTTGCTAAAACAATGCACTGTGATAACATCTCAGAGATTTTTTTTTAAGATTTATTGATTTATTTGGGAGGAAGAGTTCACAGAGAGAGAAAGAGAGACAGGAGAGAGAGAAACCTTCCATCCACTAGTTCATTCCCCAAATGGCCGTAGTTAAAGGAGCTGGGCCAGGCTGAAGTCAGGAGCCAGGAGCTTCCTCCAGGGTCTCCCAGGTGGGTGCAGGGAGCTGGATCAGAAGTGGAGCACACGGGACACGAGAGGTGCATATATGGAATGTTGTCGCTGCAGGCCGCTAACTCCATGTGCCACAGCACCAGCTCCAGATTCTTTCTTCTGACGTGTGGTTCTATTCTTTCTTTTTCCTCAATGTCTTGATAACCAGACATCAAAATGCACGATAAGATGACCTTCAAGTCTATGACTGGCATGCTTATTATTATTTGCACTAATTTTCTCTTCATGTGTTATGATAATGAATGAAATAAAACTGACTTTATTTCTTCCTTTTTCACAGCAGTTATCAGAATAATTGTGATACTACTTCTCCCCCTTACAATAAATTTTTGATCAGTTGACATTGCACATGTTTTCAAATATTGTACTGTACCCATAAAAATGCACAAGTATTACACACTACCCACAAAAAAACTTAAGTTTTGTGTTAGTCATTCACAGCCCAAATAGGTATGAACTATGAATAAAGCAGTTTCCTTTATTCACATTTTTTCTTTTCAAAAAGAGTAAGACCTTTTTGGGTTAGTGAGGGCAAGAAAACAATTGCTTATTAAAAAAATTACAAGAAAACAGGACAGAGTGCTATTGTGGTACTAGAATCTTCTACATGTAAACATTAGTAGCTTGAGTAAGTAGCATTCAATCAAAATCATAAGAACTATAAATTTAATTAATTGTATGAATTTAAAGTAGTCACTTTTGGAGTATAATTAAAGAATAGAAAAGAAATTTTGAACTAATAAAGCTTTATATTAAAGATATAATTATCCCCACATATAATCTATAAATGCATGTGAAGTTATTTTTTAAAATGTAAATTGAGGTAACAGAAAATATTTTTGGCTTTCTGTGTAAATTTCACTTAAAACTTATCTTTACTAACAATTAGAAAACAGATTAATGAGAGAAATGTGATATAATTTTAGAAATTGTCAAATTTACTGAATTTTTCTTAAGTGTGCTAATATGTCAATTCAAAGATATAATTGTCCATTCATTTTAAAAAACAATTGACATAAAAGCATGAATTTTGCTTTTCAATAAATGTGTTTGATTTTTTCTATTGAATAAAGTATATATGATTTAGTACAAATATATATTACAATTTTTATAATTTATATACATTATAAGCATGTAGTGTTTCTTCGATTTTTTTTTTCATTTTTGCCCTTTCAAAACAAGACATCTGACATATTCACATTTTTTTTAACTCAGGAAAATTCCACTCAATGTCTAACAGCTCATTTCTGGAGAAGACATTTGGTTCAAGAGTCTAGGCTCTGCTTGGGATTTCTAACCAGTGCCTGGTTAGAGCCTCACCTCTTCTGCTTCCAGTACAGTTTCCTGCTAATGTGCATCCTGGGAGGTAGCAGGTCATGACTTAAGTAGTTGTGTTCCTGCTACGCATATAAACATCTGGCTTCTGCTTAGCCTAATCATGATTGATGTGTACATTAGGGGAGTGAACCTGTGGATTCAAGATCCCTGAATGTTGTTAATTTTTTCAACTATACCCAAGAGTAGGAAAAAAATCATTTTTTGATTGGTCTCTATTCATTTATTCATATGCTTATAGTAGCGCCCTCTGTCCTCAATATTTAATTTATTTCTGAAGGAACAATAAGAAAAAGAGCAACAAAGTGAATGTCTTTTCTTCCAATAAATTTTAGTTCTATATCCCTGTAATATTTTATTTCTATAAGTTAATATCTGACAAAATTTGGGTGTGTTTTGTTTACATATATATTCCACTTAATTATATGTAATACATATAATATATAATAATATATAATAATAATAGTGTCTCCAAATAATATATATAATACTGTTAAAGTACTTTCACTTTATTTTTCATTTAGCTCCAGAAAATGCTGTTACATCTCTTCAAATAAAGTATTGCTCATAGACTAATATTTGATTAAAAACTGATAAAAATTTTATTTTCAATAAACTAACATTACCTGTAATAATCACCAGTATCAAGGATAAAGTCAGGGTTCATGTTTTACCACAAGGGCTTCGTAATCAGAATAACTGTGTTGTTATTGAGTTTCAATAACTGAAATTACAATGATAGTGTGGCACTCTTTACTGATTTGTGAAATTGAAGTATGCTAATCAGATAAAGTTATTTTAAAATAATGCTTCATTTCATTTACACCGCTTTTGTAAAGGTAACACTTAAAAATAATTACTAAATTTGATTAGTTAAAAAGTGATTGTTAGTGAAACTAAAATGGAAAATCATCAATAAGCATTTAAAATTTATTTTATTAATTTGGCTCTCTTTTTTGTTTGATAGGATGCCATTATAGTAATTAGTATTTTACTATCACATTATAAAATATGTAATTGCAATTTATTTATCCATTTGAAATTTCGATGTGTATCACAGTGAAAATTTTGACTTGATCCTCAAATATATCTTTGCAAACCAAGTGTGCTTAAAGGTTACTAAGAAGTTCTTGGAATCTTCTCTGGTGGTTTTTAAAATATAATTTTTTCTTAATATATTTTATCTTGTATAGCTAAAACAAATGACCTACCATGTAAGAGATTATATTTGCTATTTATAAATCATTACTAAATATTATTTCTGAACTCTAGTTTTTGCTTTTCCTGTCCTCTCTAGTATATGTCTACCACTTTCTTACCTTGTGCAAGGAGTACCCGACACATTTAAATGTTTCAGCCAAAAGACAACACCATCAATAAATGCAGAGTTTTGAGGAACTTTGTGCCCTCTTGCCTTTAGTCACACAGAAGGTCTCACTGAATCACCTCAGTGTTTCATGCAGAACTATTTCCAAGCAAGAACATACACTTATCAGAGCAGGGCATTGAATTTAGAAAAGTCTGCAGCTCTGTTCTCTGGTCTACAGGCAGTTTTGGCACAAATTATCATTAACATATCTTGCTCCAGTAAGTTAGATGATGGAGACTACATAAGGTTCTTAAGGAAGAAGAGCCCAGGGAATAGTATGTTCTGGAATGAAGTAAAATGCTTGAAAGTATTTCACTTTCATCTTGTGTGTATTCTAATGAAAAAGTTCAAAGAACTTTACATAAAGTATAGGAAAATACTTTATAAGTATCTTTATGAGTTTGCATGAATTAGTAGAGAACAAAGATCAAATAGTCTTCATCTTATACTGCCAACTAAAAATATGACACATGGAAACATTGCTGCTGTCAGTGCTGTAAATACAAAAGACCTTGCCATAATAATGCAATGCACTTCAAAGAATAAAACAATGCAAACAAAAACTATACATCTACACAGGATTTCTTCTAATATTTGTTATGATCTAGAATATTCTTATTAATTTTAGGAGTAGGAGGTTTAGTAATATTTCTCCCACTTTCTAATTGTTCCTTGCTGGCTTTTGTTGAGTTTGTAATTCATGTCTTTGGCACACATTTATAGCAGAAAACACTGGCTTCAACTTTTCCTTTTTGCCCAATATAATCTGGTAGTCCAGTGTCATAGCAGCAAAGTGGAATTTTATTCTTTCATTTCCTAGGGAATAGTGCAACTGTACAATGAAAGATTATGCAAATTGTCAAGGAGCATCTAATCAATCACTGTGGTGGGAGAGGAATGCAGCGATAGCTGAATTAGCTTCTGTTGAAATAGATTCATGTGTAACATCCCACCGACTCGATGACATCACGGCAGCTCCAGGTCCTTGAAAGTCTTGAGGATGATTAGCTGGAGGAATTGGCTGTTTCTGCCAATCATAATCCGGCAGAGCTGCCTTTATAGTTCTGTGGATATGAGAGAAAGAGGGAGGGAGGGGAAGACCGACTACAGCTAAACAAGAGGCGCAGCAGCAGGAGCAGCAGCAGAGCAGGAGCAGCTGGTATTCCGGTGATTAAATAGTTCTCATAGCCTTTTTGCAGTACTCGGTCTGCTCCCTGGTGTAATTCTCCTGTCCAAGAAGGAAGCTGCATTTGAACGGTGTGCTGAACAGAGGTTTGAATCATTCCAGCTGGCTGCTTGTTTTGAAAAGGACAATGTGTGTATAAATAAAAAGACTCTGCTGGAAGAGTTCAGATACTAGGACTGGCGCTAAAGAGTGCTCTCGGAATATTATAGAGGCAGATTGAACTGAAGCTCCTTCTAATTAACCTGGAGCCAAGTGAACCTGAATACTGGATCTCTTATGTTCTAACTCGGGATAAAGTCAAGTTAGGAAGAGAAAAAAAAATGAAATGCTTCTCTAGGTAAGTTACTGCTTGATTTGCTGAAATTGAGGTGTGTACAATAAATGGATATATGTTGCTTGGCTATGTAAACGAGTTGAACACAATAAAGTTTTATTTGTGAAAGATTTATGTAAAGATAGACTATGTTTTAAACCATTTTCAATTGCCCTTTTCAGCATGTGTGTGCTTACCTGTCATAATGGTTTGCAGAAGTTGTATTGGCACCACAATGGAAAATAAAATCCTACCTGAGAAATAAAAAAAAATAGAACTTAAATTTTAACAGCTGCCAGGACATTTGCATAAAAAACTCTCACTTGATAACAGCTTTAGCATTTGCAGCTTGAAATTGACAATTTTATAAACCCAATATTGAAAGCTAACTGTAGATATTTCCCCTAGAAGTATTACAGACAACATGGCATTCAAATTACCCAAGATGAGAACTCCTTTTCTTGGGACCTAAGATTTATAGACATACTCTGTTCTGATGGTCTACTTTAGAGAAACAGCTGTCACAGGCATTTGAAATTGTATGATACAGTCATAAATTGCTTATAAAGAAATAAATGCTTTCCTCCTAGCTCCTATACAGAAAGAAAAATAAATTCTTAGAACAATATATGTCATATGCCATGAGAATATATTCTCAGGAGGACAGAAACAGTTTTTATGACACACCTGTAAATAGCTCCAAATTCCTCATGCACAAAGTAAGTTGTGGGGGGGGGGGCGGGACATGTTTTTTAAACATGTTTTTACCCATCCTTTCTAATATCTCTGTTAGAGGAAGTCAAATAAAAAAGAAACATAAGCCTTGTTTTTCTTGTAACTTGTCCTGATTAATAAAAACAGTGTTTTTCAGAGTTACTAGCATAGTATTTCCATGTGATGATGTTTTGTTTATTATAGGATAAACTGTGGATTCTCATTTAGTGCTGAACAGGTTTATATTTCTTTCAAACTTACATTTGCTTCCTTTTACAGTAACTTTTTTCTGAAATTTTTCATTAGCACAGGATCATAAATGCCTTAAAGTAAATCGCATACCAACAGATGTATGTTTCTACTGCTCTTAGAATTAGTTATCCACTTTCTCATGAATTTCATTGGTAAAATGCTGAAGTTTCTTGTCACAAAATGAAATTGATGAAGATAAAAGCTACTATAATTGTTTGAATTTTCCCAAGACTAGGAAGCGGTAAATACTCCCACAAGTGTTTTAAAAAGATTTTTTTTACTTCAAAAGGATAATTTTAATCACTTCTATTAATAGCATGCCAATTAGCTATATCCACATGCCAGCTAGGTGCTACATTGATCATGTTTATTTCATAAAGTGAGTGTCTGTTGAGAATATAAAGTCCATTGACAAGAACAGTCTTCAATAGGAATTCATAAAAAGTGATTAATAAGCAAAACACACTTGCCACTTAGATTTGTCTCAGTGAATAAATGAGAAATTGTGCTGTGATTGCTGTTGTTTATTAGAATTAAGAATATTGTTACAACCTTATGATGATCATTATTACACAGCATTTACATTCATAGATTCTTCCTAATAAAGTAATGGGAAGATTTTTGGAAACCGATCACTAAGCACAATAGTCATTTTAACACTTTGTGAATGGCAACTGGTCACTAATAACATTGATTCATAGCAAACCCTTTAAAAATTTACAGTGCATGTGATTTATTTACTGTAACATTGAAATCACCCAAAAAGGAAAAAATATATGGATGTAATTGAGAAACTTAGGCATTGTCCTTAACTAAGTGACAGACAAAATCTCATTAGAATATTAAAATTACTTTCCTTTTTTAAAATTAATGCTAAACAAATTAAAATAATACATATTAAAAATAATTGAGATTTTGATACTTGATAATACTTTGTTTTATACCCTTGTGAAACCAATGATTAAGAATGTTAATACTATATTACTTTAGTGATCTGTGATTACTTTAAAATTTAATGTATATGGGTGAAATGGTCATTTTTCCATTCAATTATTGTTTATGCCTATTGCCTGTGTACCCACTAGACTAGAATTTTTTTTTAACTTGTTGAGCTTATTATTCAGGGATGTGTTAAGTCTTTTTACAGTAATGTAAATTTAATATATATTGTTTCACAAAATAGAAAGAAATGCTCATGTATATGTTCACTTACTAAAGAAACAATCTTCTGTATTTTATCAAAGTATTAGAACTGTTATACATATTATTTCTTCTCCTCAAAGCATTCTGCTTTTTGGATTTTAAATAAATTTAGTTCCATATTTCAATAACCACTTTAAAATCAGTTCTTAAAAAATGTTAAGTGAATGTTTCTGAAGCAATGAAACAGTTGTCCCCAATAGGTCTAGTATTTAGATGATCCACCTGCACTTTTTGTTAGAGTGGAAAGAGGCCTTTGAGAATTAAATTCAAAGATCAAACTTTCTGTGCTTCATTTAGTAGCAACTGCTCAGGGAGAATAGCAAAAAATTCACCATACTGTGTTCAAACTAGAGATTCTGGCTGGTGCTGCCTCCCCAGATTTGGACAGCAGCTGGGGAAACTTATAAAATAAAGCTAAAATATCAGCCCTGGCTAGAAGCCAAGACTGAGAAGCTGTGCACCCAGAAGGCTAATTTTTTCTGGGTTGAAATTCACTGATAATGCATTATGTTTAAAGTCTAACCTGATGGATTTTTTTTTCTCCACTACAAATTGTGAGATAATTAAAGAATAAATATAGTCAGGGTATAGCAAAATGTGAAAGTAACAAAGATTTCTTCTTTGTTAAGGTCGAATGAAATAATGTAAATAAGGGTAGTAGAAGCTCTAATGAAATACAGCATTAAACTCTGGAAAAGAAAAAAAAAAACAAAGATGCAATACATGGTCTAATCATCATCTTGGAGATGGCAGAGAGATCAGAAATGACACATGGATACATCTCCAAATAAGAAACTGAAAATTTTATTGAAGTGATTGGTCTAGTAAAATTTACAGAAAAAGTATTTATGTTAAATGTTGTTGTTGTAAATATTGTGTGATGCTACCCAATAAAAGAGAAGATAATTCTGGTTCATCATGGTCCCCAAATAACTAGGAAAGAGAAATCATGATGTCTGTTAATTTATTTTAAGTTCATGAAGTGAGAGAAATGGGTCAGGTGTCAGACACAGTGCTAGTGCCTTCAGCCATCATGATATAACATTTAGTCAATCTTTTCTTTAACACTTAAGCAAAGTTTCAGCTATGCCGTTATACAGGGTGTTAAATACATTCTTCTTTTTAGGTATTTTCAGCAAGCTTCAGAAGTTAGAGGTGTCAACTGCAATACAGAACATATAAATACAGCCCTATTTCTAAGCTTTCTTTATCTCAGTTTTCAAAGAAATGTTACCACATTCTAAACTTAACAAATCTGAAATTTCTTTTGGAAATAACATTAAATTGATAACATATCTCTTCTAAACCCAATTCCAAACTCACCAATGGCTTTGGGCATTTCAAGACAAATAGATATTTTTGGAATGTAAATAGTCCCTCTCCATTCCTACAAGTGAAAATGTCTGAAGATACAACTTGAAGTATTTATTTCCTTTCCCTTTTTATAATTTGTATATTTCCATGAGTATCCAGATAATTCAGACCATTAAATAGATTATAGCAAAATAACTACATATGGCAAACTGAATGATGACTTTCAATTGACTTTTTGAGCAAATCTAGGTCTGAGATTTCCAAACAGTTAATGAAAATGTACCTTATGAAAACACTAAGCATGGATTTCAAAATGTTTAGCAAACAAACACAAACTTATTTTAATATCATTTTCTTTTTTAAAAAAATATTTATGTATTTATTTGAGAGGCAGAGTTCAGACAGAGATGGCTGCAAGGGCCAGAGCTGGGCCAATTCAAAGCCAGGAGCCAGGAGCTTCTTCCATCTCCCTCGTGGGTTGAGAGGCCTAAGCACTTGAGCCATCTTCCACTACTTTCCCAGGCCATCTGCAGGGAGCTGGATCCAAAGTGGAGTAGCCAGAACTTGAACCAGCTTGCCCCTCAGGTATAACCTATTGAGCCACAGAGCTGGCCCTTAAATATCACTTTCCACAACTTTTATGAAATGCTCCCATATGTACTACCTCAAAAAATTTCAGGAGAGATTTAAAGATTTTCATTAACACCAAATGAATACTCATGATTAATTCATTAAAATTAAATATTTGAAAAAAATTAAGATTGAAACTAGAAATCTTTGAATACTTGAGAACATAATTTGATATATTAAGAATATGTGTAAAAACAAAGATGTTGTCTCAACTAGAATTGAGAATTTTGCACAAAACCATATTTTCACTTTCAGATATCACCGTTTTAAATATTTAAGAATTAATAAAGTAATTTTTAGCAAATTAACATACACCATACTGACACAGACAATACACTAGCACAAACACTTTGTTTTCCCGGAGTAAAAGAATTTCCATAATTGAAACAATCTACCATGAACAGAACTTGTTGCCAGTTTTGCTTAAAACATTGAAACCTCCTTATGAAAAGTCTTTAATTGAATTATCTTCAAGGATAACCAGAGGGAGGTTGAAAGTCACATGGCCAAGCTTAGAATGTCCTAAGGCAAAGTAAAAATATAAATTCTCCCATAATCTCTCCTCACTTGCTTCAATCTTCACGTGTTTCCTTCTTTACCTTCCTGCCTTTCGAGTTCCCCATTCTCTCAATTCTTTCTTCTTTCTTTTTATGTCTTTCTCTCTTTTTCTTTTTTCCCTCTTTTCCTTCCTCTCCCTCCTCTCTCGTTCTTGTCCATCTTCTTTCCTTCCTTCCTTCCTTCCTTCCTTCCTTCCTTCCTTCCTTCCTTCCTTCCCTTCCCTCCTTCCCTCTCTTCCCCTTCCTTCTCTTCCTTTCTCTCTCCCACCCTCCCTACATCCTGCCTGTTTTCTTCTCTCTCCTTCCCTCCATGTTTCTTTCATTCTTCCTTTTCTCCTTCCTTCTCCCTTCCCC